CTAAAACAAGTCCAAAGAACCCAAGATCTCCAATTTCTACTCTAGTTTTACTCAAAATCATCAAAATCCGTTTTGAACCAAAAATAAGTTTTGGAATCCGAAAAACATAGATTCAAGAGAGGTTCTTTCAGTAATCTTACCTCGAATCCTTCTCTTGACGTTGAAAACTCTTTGAAATCACTCTTGGTTCGAATCCGGTTTTGATTTGAGACACAAATGGGAGAGAGAGAGGGAGAGAGAGAGCACGGAAGTGAGAGAGAGAGAGAGAGAGAGAGAGAGAGAGAGAGAGAGAGAGAGAGAGAGAGAGAGAGAGAGAGAGAGAGAGAGAGAGAGAGAGAGAGAGAGAGAGAGAGAGAGAGAGAGAGAGAGAGAGAGAGAGAGAGAGAGAGAGAGAGAGAGAGAGAGAGAGAGAGAGAGAGAGAGAGAGAGAGAAACGCACAGGAAAGAAAAAGAAAAGGAAAGAAAAGAAAGGAAAAAAAGAAAAGAAAAGAAAAATAAAAAGTAATGACATGTGTAAAATATAACAGTCTAGAAATGCGCCCATACACACTTCTGGATTAAATAAATGACTGTGAATAATTTAAATACCTTGGAATTATTTAAACTCAATAAATTAAATCAGATTAGGCACACTTATAATCTCAATTACCTTAATTAATCTCAATTAATTCTTCAGGGTGTTACAGCTCCACCCCCCTTAGGCAATTTCGTCCCCGAAATTAAAGCTCACCTCAAAGTGCAAACAGATGCGGATAACGTTCCTGCATCGTCGTTTCAAGCTCCCATGTTGCTTCCTCAACACCATGGTGCTGCCACAGCACTTTCACTAACGGGATCTCACGATGACGCAGACTCTTCATCTTCCGGTCAATAATCTGGACCGGTACCTCATCGTACGTCGTGTCGTCCTGTATCGAAACGTCATACCATTGCACTACAGCTTCCGCATCAGGTTGACATTTCTGAAGCATGGAGACATGGAACACGTCATGCACATGAGATAATTCAGGCGGCAGGGCAAGACGATATGCCACAACACCGACTCGCAGCACGATCGGGAATGGTCCAATATACCTTGGCGCAAGCTTCCCTTTCACACCAAACCGAGTAACTCCCTTACGTGGGGAAACCTTCAACGTAACAAAGTTGCCTTCTTGGAATTCCAAAGGCCTACGCCTTCTGTCAGCATAGCTCTTCTGTCGACTTTGAGCTGTCAACA